CAGCTGGATGACGCTGTCAGAGCAAAGGACGCATTGAGGTCGGAGATAGATAATTTGGCGCACATGTTGGTTCCGGAATCGAGAAGATATCCGGCAAAGTAAGCAACTTCAAGAATTTCACGAGCCCCGGGTTGCATAAGTCACATAAGTACACAGGACTGGCAGCAGTAGCTTACGGAGTGATCAAGAGGACGAATGAGATCGTCGAGGAGCTCTTTAGGCAGATTGATTCCACAGCCAAGACTAGGAACGATGTGAGGGAACAGATGGATCAGAGGAATTACGAGATCGCCATTGAGGTTTCTCAGCTGGAAGCCACCATCGGTGGCTTGAGAGAAGAGGTTTCCAAGAAAAGCTCTGTCATAGAGGAGTTGGAGAAAGGCATCGTTGACAGGGATGAGAAGATTGCTGAGATGGAGAGAGAGATGTCTGGTAAAGTGCATTCGGTGGAGAGTGAATCTCTTGAGCTGAGGCAGTTGATTGGTGAGTATGATGACAAGTTTAGGAGTTTGGAATCAAAGATTGATTCGCAGCAGCCATTACTGATTGATCAGTTGAATCTCGTAAGCAGGATTCATGACCGGATTTACGAAGTTATTAAGATTGTTGATGGTGATAATTTGGACCAATCTGAGTTATCGGAGTCCTTGTTTATGCCTCAAGAGACTGGTTTGGATGAGAATATACGTGCTTCTTTGGCTGGGATGGAATCTATCCATGAGTTGGCCGGAGTTCTTGTTGAAAAGTCAAGAGCTTTAGCAGACGAGAAGAGTCGTGAAGTTAAAAGGTTGAACGAAACTGTGGCTCAGTTGGTTAGAGAGAAGGAGCAAATTGGTTCTTTGCTTAGGAGTGCTTTATCAAAGAAGATGGTATTCGATCGATCATCTAAAACAAGTGATTTGTTTCAAGCAGCAGAGAATGGTTTAAAGGAGGCTGGAATTGATTTCAAATTTAGTAAGCTTCTTGGGGAGGGGAAGGTTTTGTCCTCCCAAGAAAAGGCCAATTTGCCTGGTACAGAGGAGGATGAAATATATACCTTGGTAAGTCTTCTCCTCTGTTAATCGATGATAATGTGGTTTACAATGTGAGTTGTGCTCCAGTCCTAATTTTCACTTCCTTAGTTTAGTTTTTTATCATACACAGGCTGGTGCTTTGGAGAATATTGTTAAGGCATCACAACTTGAAATCATTGAGCTGCAGCATTCTGTGGAGCAATTGAGGTATTTACAATTATTTTCTATAAGGAAACTGCAATTATATATGCATGTACATATGTATGTATTGATTTGGATACAAAATAATACTTTCTTCTGGCCCAAATGGTGGCATAATCTGTGGGATTTCTTTATTTCCAATTAAACCCCAATCCTAGGAAGCTTAATCAGATTATGAGATGATGGTACTGAAGTTAATATATGGTTCTTTTAGCATCTCTTTTTGTGATTTCAGTCCTTATATTCTGATTTTATATGTGTTTGGGTGAGTATGTTACCTTCCAGAATCAAAGTTTCACAATTCTCATATTTTATCTGTCTTGTATTGACCATTTATTCTTTTGTTTGCATCTTATTACTGTGTTAAGGGCAGAGTCAAGTTTACTTAAAGAGCATATAGAGGCACAGTCAAAGGAGCTCAGCCATAGAATGCATCGAATAGAGAAACTTGAAGAGAAGGAGAGAGTAGCTAATGAAAATGTGAGTTATTTATATTTAATTGACAGTTAATTGAACAATTTAAATTATTCACCCTGATCAATTCAGTTTTATTTGATTAACTTGATTGTAAAAGGAGAAGAAATTGTAGCACACAGCTACATGAATTAGCAAAGTGGAAACCATATCAGTTGTCTTTCTGTTGATGTGGAGTATGTAGGAAATGGAGCTTTGAAAGAAATTTAACAAAAAAATTAGCACGGACCAACTTAAGCATAATAATAATAGAAGTCTGATCTCAAGCTAGGCTATTGGTGTCCTTTATATAGGCATCAACCATACAGAAAATAAAACACGTAAAGTTATTGGAACCTTTGATAGCAACTATTTGTGCTAGAATAAACTACTACTCCTAGAAAAAGAACTACTAAATATCTTTCTGAAAATGGTAAACTAACTGTGATCAAAAGTATCCTCTCCAATTTGCCATCTATGATACTTCATTATTTTCTATCCCTGTTAGCATTGCCAAGAGGTTGACATCTCTGCACTGTCAGTTCCTTTAGGAGGATTCTGAAGATATGAGGCATCACCCCTTTGTTCCATGGGATGACATGAAAAGACCTTTGACTTTGGGGGTCTTGGCATTAGATTTTGACTGCCATGAAAGAGGGTGGCTATGAAAGTTCATGTATACAAGACTAATGGAGAGAGGTAATTGTTGCAAAAGATGGGCTAGAAAGAAGAGACCGGAAGACAGCCATGATTACTCACAGTTATGCTACTAACCTCTGGAAGTGGATTAGTAAGGAACAGAACTCCTTGGTTTATTGTTGTTTAGGCTTGGGAATGGTTAGACATTAAGTCTTTGGACAGACCAGTGGTGCGGTGATAGTCCTCTTAAAGATAGGTTTATAGCATTTTTGCTATTGCTAGAGATAATGATGCTTTTGTTAGGGACATTCTGGTCATCAATGGTGAATCTCCTTTGCTATGGGCCATCAAGCTGTGACAGAATCTTAATAATTGGGAAATTGATTACATGATTTATCTCCTGAATTCCATTTGCTCCTGTCATTTTGACCCTACTGCCAGAGATCTTCACGTGTGAGCTCACTCAAAGAATGATTGTTGTCTGTCAAATCCTTTCACTTCAGTCTTCTTCCTCAAAGTGCTGTTGTCCCTAGATTCCCCTAGAAGCAGATTTGGAAGAAAAAAGCCTTCCTTCTTATGCGTTCTTTGCTTGGGAGGCCACATGAGGAAAACTTCTTAAATTAGACAGTATGAGGAAGCAGGGAATGTTCATTGTCAAGAGGTGTCCTATGTATTATTAAGCAAGTGAATTCCTTAACTATTTGCTTATTTGGTGTGTTTAGGCTAGAAGTTTATGAGATCTCCAACTTTGTCCTTACTAAATGTGCTTTTTATAGCCAGTGGCTCGATTGAAAAGGAATTATTGGCTTGGGAAGCTATTGGGGCGTGCGAGTTCCTGAAAAAGTTCATCTCCCTAGTCCCTTAGGTTATCTCTTGGTTTGTTTAGACAAAAAGGAAGAATAAGATTTTTTATGGCTATCTTTTGCTAGCATTTTTTGGTTAATAGTCAGCTTCTTAGTTATGAAGAGGATCTGGGGAACCTCATTGAGATTTTGATTTCTAGTCTAGGCTTGTAAGTGTTCTTTTATATTGGGTGGCACCCCTTGGTGCCTTGTTGATAATACTTCTTTTCCTCCAGAAAAAAGTTTCCAAGTGAACCTTAACCTTCTAAACCATTTCACAGTAATGAATAAAATGTCGTGAACATATAAATTTGAATCTTAGTTCTTCCATGTACAGGTAATGTAGGACAAATTAGAATTGATCTGTCTCTGGAAAAAAACTTAGGCACTTCAGGTTCTTAAATTTCACACTTAAGAAGCCTTGAGCATGACAGTTAAGGTTTAATTGCATCACTCAACCCAAAAAATGAGGGAATGCTGAAAGTATTCATAATTTGTCCATGATTTGTCATACATCAGAGGACTTTTTCTGCCTAATTGCATCATTGAGTTCTAACTTGGTCTACTTGTTTTGAAAGGTTGAAGGGCTTATGATGGACATTGCTGCTGCTGAAGAAGAAATTACAAGGTGGAAAGTAGCAGCTGAGCAGGAAGCAGCTGCTGGTCGAGCAGTTGAACAGGAGTATGTGTCACAGGTATGCAAATCAGGTTGGCCAATGTATTCTTCAGATGGTGTCTGCGGGAAATTACTTTGCTATAAATGTGGCTAGTCTCATTTTTACCGCATTGTTATGAGGAGAAACATTCACCAATATATTTTAATTGCTTAGAAGGGATCAAGGGGTGGGGGAGGAATCACATGCTTTCAAGTCAGATGTGTGTAAAACCTTTCAGGAAACATTGTGTTAAATTCAATTTAGTTTACTTAAGTCTCTGATATTGAATGATTTATATGAAAATTATCTGTAGGAGCCAACTAGCTATATAACTTCTACTTTAAGAGGTTTAGAATATAATGTTATTCACATTGGGATTGAAAGCCAAAGGAAGGTGGGTATCTTTCTATGTGGCTCATCGATGTCTTGTACATGTCCTATGTGCCAAAGAAATGTGTAAAATCTGATTATAATTCAAAAGTCAAACTTTTGCATTCATTTGGTTAGGGAAAATATTAATGGGATGTTTGGCTTATAATAAAATAGAGAAAGCTTATTGACTAAAAAAAGTGATTAAAAACCAAGAAAGCTTATCAAGTGAAGAGCAAGCTCTGATAGATTTTTTGGTTAAAATATAACTTCTATACTATTATCTAATTAAATAGAAAGTCAAAAGTTTACCTAAAATGTTATAAATGTGAAGTATTCAAAATAGGATATGTACTCCAAAAGATCCCTTACTATTCAAAAATGTCCAGATTGGCTTCTGTACTTTTTTTGCTTGAAATACAACCTAAAGTTTTAATTTAGTCTAGATTGCCCTAACATTTAATGACATTCCTAACACCGCTAGAGAAATATTCATGTGGCAAACAGCATGTTCACATGGATATCATGTTTAAGGAAAAGCTAGTGTGGGAGACATGTGGTTGCCATGTTGACATCCCACTTCCTCCTCTTTTTTCTGTCTTCTTCCCCTTTCTTCTCTCTTCTTCCTCCCTAACACTGTGTCTAGCAATGCAGCTTTCCTTCACGCTTATTCCCCTTTAATCTCTCTTCTTCCTGTTTTCTTCCCCTTTCTTCTCCCTTCTCATTATTGAACCTTGACTGCACTCCAAAGAGAATCACTGCCAATTCCGACTTACAAATCCTTTAGCAAAGCTGACAAGAAGAAGATAATCACTTCCCAAAATAGAAGGCACCTACATCTAGTAAAAATGGAAAAAACCATTAAGAAGGGAATTTCATTGAAGAAGTATTGATCTAGTTGTGGCAGCCAGCCAAATCTTGGAGAAGAAGACAGCCTTCTCTTCCTAAATCAATGACATTCAGCTAAGACCTCACATCACTAACTTCGCACTAGACATAGCCATTTTAACAACTATAACCCATCACCCAACTGGGATAAGATTGTGTGATTAAAAGAACAAACTTTCATCATAAAGAACTGATCTACACAACTACAACCAATTTTAAAGGAAGTATATTTATTCAGTTGGGTAGATAAAAATCAGCAACGAGAAGTAGAATCTGCATGTTCTGCAATTGCTGAGTCACGACTCATGTAAGAAGCAGGACCGAACCAAAAAGTAGCAAAAGAAAAAGATGAATGAAGGCTTGGGTAAAAAGATTTCTTTAACATATTGAAATCCATTTTGCTGAAGAAAACAGAGAATAATAGTGAAAAAATTTGAGCTGGAAAAGACAGTTTTGGAGCTATCTTGGATCCTGTATTCTTGCACACGATTAGCATGATGAATCTGCCTATCTCCACCTGCTGTGTTTACGCACCAGTGGACCTTGGGGCGTTGTCCAAGATGGACTTGCAGAAGCTGCCTTTTTCTTTATATTCTGGGTTTTTTAGTTTTAGAGATTTGCAGAAGTTGGATCTTTTGAGATTAACAATTTTTGTTGTTTCTGTGTGAGGATTAAGTGAGGTGTCTAGATGGTCTCTATGGAAGGAAGAAGAAATAAGAAAAAATAGAGAGAAGCATGGCAGGTCGTGGAGGTGGAGGAGCTGCACCGCTGCTGAAACAAGATGAGCTGCAGCCACATCCAGTCAAAGATCAGCTGCCAATGGTTGACAATATGGATGAAGAAAGGGAAATAAGGAAGGAGCAGAAGGTAAGAAGAAAGGGGAAGAAGTGGATGCCAGTGTGGCAGCCACATATCTGCCATACTGGCCTTTTTTTCACATGTAATGCCCACGTGGACACATCGATTGCCTCGCGGGCATCTGTCTAACAGGGTTACAAACTCCATTAAATGTGAGGTCCAATCTAGACCAAATTTAGAACTTTAGGTTGCATTTCAACTGAAAAAATGTACGGAGGTCAATCTGGACATTTTCAAATAGTACAGAGGCATTTGAAGTATTATCTCTATTCAAAACTGAGGGTATCATTTCCTTATTCTGCACCTGCTTATTAAAGATAAACTCTTAGAAAAAGCCAACTCATCAACTCTGCAAGAGCTTATAAGCTAAGTTCTTCATTGATTACCAAATATTCTAAGCTTTTTAAGAGTTATAATCTCCCTGTGACCAAAAAATAAGCTATGGGAAGCATCATCTAAAGGAATCGGAAGCGTTTAGATGATATTGCAAAAGTCTATGATAGAATTAAGGCTATGTTTGAAACAAATATATAGGAATTTTGTGGAATTTATTTACAAATTTACTCTTAGTTCAATTATAAGATAGTTAAATTCTTCCTTAAATGATTAACATTGATAAAAAATTGGAATTTGTCATTCCTGGTCACATGAAATTTCATTTAATTTTAATTTTTTGTCATCCTAATACAATTAATTTATTTCATAATTGGATCAAGTGTGAGTTTACAGATGAAGTTTACAAAATCTTGGATTTGTTCCAAATATAGTGTAATCCTAATTACTTGACAGTTCTTCCTAATATTCACCATTGGGGGTGTTGGATTCAGATATTACCTGGAATACAAGCATCTGAAATAATACACTTTTGGTCTTTACGTACATGATGCTGCTTGCTATTTTTACCCAAAATAATTATGAGCTTAGCCTGACTCAATTTTTGGTAAATAGTTGTCAGCACTTAGACAGGAGCTTGAAGAAACAAAGCAAGCTATGTTGGAATCAGAGAAGAAGGTAAAATTTAAGGAAGAAACTGCAGCTGCAGCCATGGCTGCTAGAGATGCAGCTGAGAAATCTTTGAGATTAGCAGATATAAGGGCGTCAAGACTGAGGGACAGAGTGGAGGAGCTCAGCCATCAGCTTGAAGAACTTGAATCCCGGGGAGATACGAGGGGACTTAACAGATCTAGATATGTGTGCTGGCCTTGGCAATGGCTTGGGCTGGACTTTGTGGGATTCCAGAGGTCGGAAACACAGCAGCAAATTTCAAATGAAATGGAGCTTTCTGAGCCACTTATCTGATTATACTACACATTTTTTTTCCCCCCTTTTTTTGTATTTAATGTGAACCTTTGATACATAACATTTAAGAAATGCCACCTTATAGTGTCTTCATATTTTCAACAATGGTTCTATTGTGAATTCTCTCCATACTATTCCACATGGCACTTTTTTTGGAGAAAGTGAGTCAATTTTGTAAACCCTTCATGATAAGAAGTTGATGTTTTAGGATAGTTTTATCAAATAGAATGTTACATCTTTGTTTTATTTTGGGCTTTGGCTCCTCTGGTTAATATCCTTTCTCTATTAGTAATGCGGTTTAGGATATAAGCTTAAGGGCATTTGTTTACAGTTTTGATAGTATGAGCTGCTGAATGTAATAGTTTATATGATACCCTTGCTCCCTTTTCGACCCCCAATCCCTCCTTTGAACAGTCTTGTTTTTAATCTCAGAAATTATGCCTTATTACAGAGCAAAGTGCTTTTCTTTTATTATTTTAAGATTTCAGTTACAAAGTGCTGCATTATCTGGTAAGTGTAAAGCTGAAGATGAAGGCAGAGATATTTAACTCTGTACAAAAATGGTTGGTGCTTCCGGCAAGAATGCAAGTGGGTTATACGGTTTAGATTATTTTTTTAAGTAGGAGGTGAATTAAATTCCACAACTTGGTAACTAACATGAACTTATTGTCTACAGATTGATAGCTGTATACTTGTACAGGCAAGAAGATTCTTCCTGGGAAAGCGAGAACAGGACAGATGGCAGGATTTTGTTCATGATGCTGTTTACAAGAAAAAGCATGACAAAGGTATGGGTACACTTCAGATTTCAGCTTTTGCATTGCCCAAAAAAACGTGGGCTAGGTGATATCTTACTAATTAAGATAAATAGAGGATTTCACTAATCAAGAGAAATATAGGATTTATGAAAGAGCCGATCTTCCTAAAAAGGTAAGGCTGGCATTACGCATGAGCTCACTGTTGATCACTGGATGTGTTCAGTTGTATTTGCTGGAGGGCAGTTTTCTTAGAGATGGTAGCTGTAGAACCAATTATCTCTTCCATGTTTCCACCTCCCTCCTTTGCTCCACTCGATGATTTTCAGTCAAAGTAGCATAAGAGATTTGTTTGCTAGTGCAAGATTCTATCTTGTCCCCATGTATATCCTTATGTAGCTTCTACCACCAGTATCGAGTGGCAATAACAAGATGCTGCCCTGTAAAACCAATGGGACTTTTCTCTCAGAAGGAAACCTTCTGAGTTTTCTCAGGAACTAGGTTTTCTCAAAATTTCCAAAAGCATTAACGTGAATAATTAATTTTTGCATAAATGTAATAGTTGATCTTATAGTGGGACATAATTCTTTTGGGAGTAGAATTTGGGGCTTGAAGGTACCGAAGTGAGGTGATTAATATCATCTTGGGTGCCACCTTTCTTCTCTCTCGTCTAACTCCACTTTTGGGGTTTTGTTCCCCTAGTCCTGGCTTCTTGGAGAGCTCTGCATAATTCATATCCCGGTGATTGAACTGGTATCAACTCCGGCCACAAATAAATTCTGATTAATGCACAACAATCATGTAAATACACCATGAAATACTGATGAAAATTGGACCTCATCAATGAGAAAACCAATGCATGTAAAATGTGGATTTGTATTTTATTATCGAACTGCAACTAGGAGATCACAACTAATAGAGATTTTTGCGTTTAGGCAATCATGTTAGGAATATACAAGGCTCAAAAGAATAGTATTAGAAATATTATAATTTCTTTCTCCTAGAATTGTCTCGGATGATAACTATCAATATCCTCCTAAATGGTTAACCCCCTTTCTCTTCCACTATGCTACTTCAAGAAACTAACGTATGGATTTGTAAAATAATGTAGAAGAAAATAGTGTAGTAAAATAACGGTTCTAATCAATTCTTGAATTGAGGGTTAATGATATTAAAAACTTAAATAGAGATTTCAGTTTGATTGAAGAGAGTAAGGTCGGAATTTATTAAAAAATGGCAAAAATATATTTCCATATTAACAATCTATGATATAATTATGACAAAAATGGAAAGTTAAATTGTCAGCATCATTGAATTCACTAATGTCCAATAGCGGAAGACGAGTATGTCATTGTTTACAGCCATAGATGGAGAAACATAAAGCCTTAACTTTAAGGAACACCTTTTAGAAATCTCCGCACTTAAGAGTTAGTACATCCAATAAATGGCACTAAAGCTTGAGCTATATCTCAAAGAGAGAAAATTCAACAACTTCTAGAACCCACCTCCTGGAGCTCATGTCATGAAGTTTAAGTGTTCCCGTTAGTTGGGAATCAAAACATATTTATTCAAGAGTGGAAGGACAATGATAAATTAAAAAACTCTGAAAAAGGGACAAATAATGCAAAAATATTTTCTTGAATGAAAAACGGGAGAAGTAATAGCAGTTTGCTTATTTTGATGTATCTCAAATGTCGATTATCTCCATAATGTTGGGCTCATTAAATTGTATGAAATGAAGCCTCTGTAGTAAACAAACAAAAACAATGATCCGAACTACTGGAGGTACCATTGTTTGTTCAGCCATCTTGTTAGGAAATGTTTTAAGTTGAATGACCAGATCATGGACTAATATTAGAAGGGAATCATTGCACTTGAAGAGGAGACCATATCCAAGATGACCTTGATCAATGACAGGAATGCCCATCTTCTTCCCACTTTTACAACCATTATGTGTGGGTCTTTAGATACTTTAAATGGAGCAATTTCCTCGTTAACAGAAAGTAATGTGATAGATATTCTTCTAGGAAAAAGTCAGAACATCCTAAATAAAATAATCTATCAACAATTCAGCCTCAATAATCACGAGGATAGTTCAATTCCTGTCACTAAAAAGAGAAGATTGAAAAAGAATCATTCTTCATCAAAGCAAGTCCTAGAGAAAACAAATGTTCTGGAAAAACCTGTGAAGAAGTCAACCCTCGTTAATAGGGGTTTATACCTCGTGAAACTTACAAAATCCATTCTTTTCAAGGCAGTTTACACTGCAGCTTCATGCCCAAAAAGTTCCTAGGATCCACTTATGTCTCTTTAACATGTTACCGGTTGAAAGTAGACTCTGACTGATAGTAATAGCAACAAAATGATAAAATCTACGGACAATGAAGCGTATACAATTGAGAACGCATGTGCTAGTGTTATTAAGGATAGAAGACGTGCTGCAACAGAGTTGTTTTTAAGGGATATGCATGACACTTGGTCATCGGTTTTGTTACCAATTTACCAATATGATGTCCTACAAGTTGTACACACACATACACATTGAGTTGGGCATTTTTCAACCGATATCAAATGGTTATTTTCATATCATCCTGTAATGTAGACTCCTTCGTAGCAATGAATCTTATTGTAAAAGGAGTTGCTTTTTTCATCCACAAAGCAATTTGGTTCATGATAGAAATAAAGGAGTCAATGGAGACATCTACATATAAGAGAATAATGTTGTCAGTTTCTAGTTAAACTGATAATGTAATTAGGGTTCTGGCACCTGGCTGCAGCTTTTTGGTTGATTTTTTCTTATAAGTTGCTAACATTACTCATTAATTCCATTAGTTTTGGACGTAGTTATAGATACTTAAGTGTCGTCTTTTGGTTTTCTCCTTTACTCTATATATATATGTAAATGCTCTTAAATGAGTAATCAATTTTATTGTATCATACATATTGCTTAAAATTCATTTTTTAATTATAGTAACAAGTATGAGTCTGATCATAAAAGATTGTTATAACAATGAGAGTGACATTAGGTTTGAGAAGAGCTCTAAGAATGTTAGTAAGACCATGGGTTGAATTCTACTACAAGAACTACAGAACCTGTCTGCTTCCTTATCATGGGTTCTAGATTAGAGATGGATAGATGATTGTTTTGTGATAGTTGTAAGAGGATAGCTATTACTGTTTATTTTAAATGGATTCTTTGTTGCCATATTAATAAAACATAAAAGAAAACTACTGACTTCCAAATGATACATTTGCTAATTTTTTTTTTAAAGAATATTATTTTAGTTCTTGTATTATAATCTTATAACCTCATATCATAATTAAGTCTAAAATTTTTTCCTTAGTACTTAAACTTAAAATGTTATTTTTAAGTTTATGGATTATTTCAATAATGAATCCTAATTGCGTTTAATTGAAACTCTGTATCTTCTTAAATAATTTTTTTTTCTCACCCAAATAACTGTTTCTAAAAATAAAAATTATTTTAAAAAAAATCATATTACGAAATAATTTTATAATTTTAGATACTAAATTTATAATTTAAAAATAAAAATGCTAGTTCTGAACCAACGTAAAACTGTATAAAAAAACATAATATATTGCAGTTTGGCTTATTGAGTTCATGTGAGATTTGGCTTTGAATGTACTAATAAATCAGTACTTTGTTTATTTTTCTAGGCTTAAATTGAATCTGTCTTTCAATCAAGAGTTAGACTCTAAATTTACTTCAGATACTAAATGTTCTAGATAAATCCTTTAAAAACTCTTAAATTATAGACTCAAGAGTTACAAATCATAAAATTAATAATTATAAATATTTTTATGTAAAACATTCATATCCAAATAATAAAAAGGTTGTTATTTTGAGATGGTTTCCTTAATACTTTTGGAGGCAAGGACGATATCAAATTTAGTCCTACCATTATAATGAAAAATATATTAAATATCTTCAAATGACGTACTAATCTTGTATTAGTAAGTAAATTATCACACAACTTAAATTGTCAAATAATATTTTGTTTTTCTCATTGTGACTTTAGGACTGCAATTCGGGGATCATTTTCTACTTCTTGAAGGCACCTGGGGATCATTCTTTGCTATTATTATCGAACTCGTGCACAAGATTGGTTTGACCATAAAAGACCTAAACACTCATCATTCTCCATTTTAAAGATGATGTTTCCTTCATTTTCTAAGAATATGAAATATTAAAATTTATACTGCGACATATGTGAATTTACAAAATATAAGATTTGGCTATTAGCATTGACCTCAAATACAAGATTTAGCTTTACCATGAAAGACTTGAGAACCCATCATTCTCCATCTTAAAGGTGATAGTTTCCTCATTATTTAAGAATTTGGAATACAAAAATTTATACGGTGATATATGTGAGTTTATAAAATCTAAGTGTATGACATTTTCCATTAGTAACAAACGAATTTTAGTTTTGTTTTCATTAATCTACAATGATAGTTGGGGACTAGTTCACATACATATTATTTTTTAGACTCGATGGTTTGTGCCGTTTATTGATGATTGTACTATTTCTTACTAAAAGCCAAATATGATGTTACCCATATCATATTTCAGTTCTATAAATGATAAAGACACAATATGGAACATCCATAATGAAATTTCCTATCGAGAGTGCCAAATATGTTTTTAATTATACACTTTCATCATTCTTCTATCAAGAACGAATCTTTCATGAATAATCTTATGTCCATACCTACAACAAAAGACAAAAAAATAGTAATATTTTAACCACTACCAAAGCTTTTCTTTTCTAAATTATTGTCTCATAACAACATTGTGTTGAACTCGTCTTTATTGTCACCTATATTTTTAATCGTCTGCCTACGATTGTTTTTTATTTCAAAAGTTAAAACATTTCAATAATTTTATCAAGCAGTAAGTATCACAAATCATCTAATCCATCAGATATATTGGATATGTTGCCTTTGTTCATATTTATTCTCACCAAAGATGGAAACTTGATCCCTCGATTTTGAAACGTCTATTTATGGTATATTCCTTATTTCAAAATAGGTACAAATGTTATCATCCACCCACTTAAAAATTCTATATATCTATGGTGTCGCATTTATTGAACAAAAATTCTATTTTATCTAATCTTATTATTAGGAGGAGTTTGTATTATAAGATAAGGATATAAAATTTAGAATGGATTTTAACCTACCACCATAAGAGAACATTCAAAACCTAGCAAAAACTCACTACCACAAGGAACCCTTCAAAATCCATCATCTTAATAGATCATATTAGACTCTAGGTTTTCTCATGTGTATATGAAAAGGAAGGTGTTGAATACTGAGATAAAGCAAGTCCAAGAATTTGACATTGATCTTGAAACTGAGATTAAGTCCTGTAAAACTTATATAATTATCCAATAATGATACATATATTGCACGTCATAAAAGTACAAGAGAATGCACTAAATATTTTCTGTATTTTATTTCATAATTTGTATCATTTGATAAGTACTCATTAACTTATATAATTCTTTTTTAAAAATTTAAATAATGAGTATATCGTTAACACAATATTTGAGGCATTATCCTATAAAAAATGAAATAAAATGTTATAAGTATAGAGATGCAATTACTTAAAAAGAATCAAACTTAGGAAATGATGGATTTACCAAAAATGTAAGAAACAAGTGGAATCCAAATTAGTTTTTAATTAAAAAATAAAACATTTGATATAATCAAGAGAAATAAAATGAGATTGGTAGAAAAAGAGTATACACAAATATATTAAATAAACTATTATGAGATAGTTGCACAAATAATCAAGATGAATACTATGTGAATCTTATTGTCATTAGCAACCCACTTTGGCTTGCAATTACAATAGTTTGATGTAAACGAGGTCTTCTTGCATAGAGAATTAGAAAAAGAAATTTACATGGATATTTTACCAAGCTTTGATAGAAGAGTATGACCAAATAAGATATATAAACTAAATGAGGCTTTATATGAACTTAAGCAATCACCAACAACATGTTTTGATAGGTTAACAAGGGTAATAATAAATATGGAATTTAAATATGCTCAAGGAGACCACACTTTTTTCATCAAATACTCAAAGATAAGAGGAGTTATAACTCTCCTAGTATACGTTGATGACATTATTCTAATAGAAAATAATGAGAAGAAATAATGAAAACTAAAATAATATCTACCAAAAGAATTTAAAATAAAAAAACTAAGTAAATTGAAGTATTTTTTAAAAATTGAAGTTGTCTACTGTAAATTTGAATTTTTTAAGTTCTCAACAGAAATACATTAATAACTTGTTAAAAAACACTAGCATGCTAACATGCAAACAAGTTAACACTCTTGTTGATCCTAATCACAAATTAGGAATAGTGGAGAAAGATATGCTAATAAATAAAGAAATGTATTAAAGATTAGTTGGAAGATTGATTTATCTATCCCATACAATCCCATATAAAATCGGCCGAAACAAAACAAAACAGGCTAAAAATGACCAGGCCGAGGTAAACCACTGCTGTGGCAGTGGTGCCGCTGTGTCGGAATCTCAAAATTGGTCGGAAAAAGTTTTTAACACCGATTTTACATTTTTAGGATATTTTTAGGTACGTGAAGCATGTTTTAATCTCTACAGAAAAATTCAGAAAACCTAGGAATTGCCAGTAGGCGTAATAGAAAGTTTGATGTTTCCAACACCGATTCGGGTAAGAATCTCTCACCTTATTCTCTGTTATGGAATTGAAGTTTAATAATCGATAATATAGTATTTTGTGTAATTTTAAAAACTTTGAGAATAATTAGTAGTTACTAATAGAGCAGGAATCGGTTAGCTATTTATTTGTCATATTTAATTGATTGGTGAATTTACAGCTTCAAATACATGATGATATACTGTAATGGTTAAATGATTCAATTGTGCTTCCTTGATATATATATATATATATATATATATTGCTTGTCGTGTGTGATTTAAGGTTGATTTGTGAAATTGAAAATTAATATGCAAACAAAAAATTATTTGGTCATGTGAATTAATGAATGGTAGTTTTACTAGATATCCTGGGAGATAGTGGACGGACTGGGTACATAGGAAACTCTATTGTGAACGTTGCCTCATATCGGACGGGGTATCGAGGAATAGTATTTTTGGTGCTCATACCGGATGGGGTATGGGGATGGCCTGATTTACCCTCATACGAGGGATGGTATTTTTGGCGCTCATATTGGATAGGGTATGAGGACGGCTGGTTAGTTGATAATGTTGGATATTAGTTCACGCGTAACGGAACATTTTTATGGGCCCCCAAGGATACCAATAGGCAAATAAAAAGGAAAAGTTATTATTCTTACTTATTTGAATATGATATTAGAATGTTATTTGAGTTATTATCTCTATAAGTCGATTTTGTAAATCTCGCAATGGTGAATATATGCAATAAATAATTTTTTTTATAATAAATGAATTTACTTAAATCAAGAGCTCCATTGGTTATTTTTATGATTTTTACCAACCTTGAGTTTCTGTATTGGTGAGTAGTGTGATATTCTAACTGGATTAGTATAACTCACCGTTTCATTAACTATTTGAGATTAAGAGGATCAAGACCCAGATCCCGATCAATAAGAGTGTTGTGAATAGTTCACAATCTGGACTCCCTTCAAAAACTAGTGAAAGTTGTCCTAGAATGCTCAGTATATTGTATTTTGTTTATTTATTTGATTTTCTTTTATTCTTTTAGAAGAGATATTTACGTAATTCTATTGGGCATTCTAAATTATTGTGTAAGGAATGTAAACCATAAACTCTATTATTTCGCTTCCGTATTTAATTTATGACTTTATTTCCTTTTAAGTTCCGGGTCTTTACGAATAAAAATTTAATTTTATATGTTTTTAGTCTTAAGAAAAAAAAGAGATGATCAAGTAAATCATACATATCTTTGACATTGTAGTCTTGGTAATATTGAAGATAAAATAATAAGCAAGTTGTACAAAGAAGGTTACCTTGACAAATACGATTATGAATCATATCTAACTTGTGCATCTTGTTTTAAAGCAAAAATGACCAAATCTCCATTTATTGAAAGTGGAGAAAGAACTTCTGAATTATTAAGACTAATTCATATTGATCTTTGTGGCCCCATGAAAATTCAAGCCAGGAGAGGATATTCTTATTTTATCACATTCACTAATGATATGTCAAGATATAGATTTGTGTATTTTACGAAATATTAAGTTTTTTTAAATGTTCAAAAGATTCCGTAGTGAAGTTGAGAAACAGATTGCAAAAGTATTAAAGTGCTAAGGTCTAATAGAATAGGAGAATATCTTAGTGATGATTTTATTGGATATCTCAAAGAGAATGAGATTCTCTCATAGTGGATCCCTCCTAAAATACCACAACACAATGGTGTGTCCGAAAGAAGAAATCGAACCTTCTTAATATGGTGAGAACAATGATGGGTTTATAGATCTTTAAATTAATTTATGAGGATATACTTTGAAAACTACAACATATTTGCTAAATAAAGTACCCACTAAATCAGTCTCTACAACACCATATGAGATATGGAAAGAACGTAAACCGAACCTTAAGCATGTTAAAGTTAGAGGTTATCCAACTTATGTTAAGAGATTGCAAATTGATAAGCTTGACTCAAGATCTGATAAGTGCAGATTCATTGAGTATCCTAAAGAAACAATGAGATATTATTTTTATCACCCATCTGATCATAAATTGTTTGTGGCCATAAGAGTAACCTTTTTGAAAAGAAAATTTCTTTTAGAAAGAAATCATGGTGAAAGAATTGAACTTGATGAATTTTAAAAAAACTAATGAATCAATACAACAAGATGATAATGAGAAACAAGTTGAACAACCTTTACTAGTGTTATGAATCCAGAAATGAAGTAGAAATTGTGTTATATTCTTATTGAAGATATTGTTGTTTAAATAGTACATTATTGGATAATATTGAAGCTAGAAAATAGGATGAGATATGTGTAGAGTAGATAAGATAAATATATTGGAGTTATTAAGATAAAGATGAAGTCTTGAGGAGATAGACAATCTGGAGGAGATAGCATCGCAGACGTGAGCTGGTACAGATGAGTGTGTTGGAGAAGAAATAGCATATGAGGTTGATTTAA